TCACATACTGATAATCTACCAGTATACATAAAATTTTAAGCTCTATCCGAATTTGAATGTTTTACATTTCGGAAACGCGTATTGTCAGAAATATACGCGTTTCAAGAAAAACTTAATTAAGACAAAAACTCGCTTTTCGACTTAATTACCAAATTCTAAGTTCTAATTTTAGTCTCATTAGATAGAGCACGTAAAATTACATATGTTTTACCCGGCTTTCTCTTCGGGAACATGATGCACTCATTTCAGGTTCAACTAGAGATTGATCGCAAAATAAGTACATACAGAGCAAATTTCTTGATGTCTTTTAGGTAAATAAACTTGAATTAGATCTTTTTTCTGTTATTAGGTTATATAATGCTAACATTGATGATTAAGGAAAAAACGTTTCCCGACTGTCAGTCTCTTTGTTCTCTTAAAATTCAGCTTTTTCTTTAACATAGCTACTATCCGTTCCAAAAAGCAAGGCCGGTCATTATTTTTTGAATAACTCGAAGGGAACACAAGATCAAGACTTGCGTTTTTCACCATTCGATGGCCAAGACTTGAAGCTATCTTTCCATAAGCAAAAACGGATTTCGGAAAAATTTTCGAAGCCGGTTTTCCAGACGGTCTTTGGAAAACCAGCTCGGTTCTCTGAAAACTGACATATAAACGTATGAGCCTTTTCCCATAGATATATGACCTGAAGTTTTCTCTACAAAACTGAATCTAAGCGACATCCTGGAAATCTATGAAAAGATATGAAAAGCAACTTGAAAATGACCACATGAATAGGTCGAAATATCGAATTGTAATTTTTATTTTTATTGTTTTTTATTAAAACTTTTATTAAAATTCTTAACATGATAGCCGCAATGATTCTTAAATTCTTCTTCTCAACTACTCTGCCCTCGAGATAGATTTATCTTCCTCTCTATAACGGTAATGCTCTTTCGAGCGTTGATAACGTCGGGATGATCAGCTGGTAAAGTTGCTGAGCGTATCTTGAAGGCAGTTTGCATGTGTTCTAAGGCTTCCTGGAGCTGCCCCGTTTTAAACAATAGGTGAGACAGATCGTTGTGGTTTCTCGCTAATATCGGGTAACATGGGGGAAGAGATTTGAGCTGAATCTCGAGCGTTTTCTTTAGATATTCTGCAGCTGTGATCCAGTCCCCCGTTTCGACGGCAAACTCAGCCTCTAATTTCTCCAGCCACTGCCGGTCCTCGACAACGTCGGCATGATCGGAAGGCAAAGCTTTCGATCTAATCTTGTAAGCGCTCCGCATTCTGTCCAAGGCGTCCTTAAGGTTACCTTTTTTGTACAGCGCCGTAGACAAGTTGTGGTACGCTCCGGCTAATTCTGGACGGCTCGCAGATAGAGACTGAAGGTGAATTTGAAGGGCTTTCTCAAAACAGTGAACTGCGCTGTTATAATCACCCTCGACGAAGTGTACTGCTGCGATGTTATTGAGGCACGTGGCTAGTGCAGGGTGAGTGGCCGGAAGAACTTTTTGCCATATGGACAGGGCCTGTTCGTACATGGTCAATGCTTGTTTGTGACGTCCTTGCTTCTTGAAAACTAGTCCGATATTGTTATATCTCGCGGCGATTAAGTTTTGGTTTGGATGAGTTGCACTCAGATCCAGTTCTAACGCACTCTGGAAACACTCGAGGCCCTTTTGATAATCGCCTCGATCCTTGTAGAGATTTCCCAAGTTGTTGTACGGTGCGGCAGCTGAGATATCATTTGGCAAATGCTTACGATAGATCACTAACGCTTTTTTAAAATATTCGATTGCTTCTTCCTTTCGGTCCAGATGATCGCATACTGAACCAAGGTTATTATAGACGGTAGCCCGCTTTCGACAGTTATCATTGTCCTGTTCTTCGCCTAGCATCAGCAAATGGAATCTCTCGGATTCAGAATAGTTTCCCATTTCTAGCATCAGCATGGCCAAATTACCGAGAGGACTTGATATCATAAAGGTCTCTCGCATGTGTTCAGTCAGAGCTCTCAACTCTTTGTCTTCCTCACCAGTTAAGACCAGTTTCACCAACCAAACACCCTTATCCTCCTCCTCAGCTGATTGAATTCGGAAGACGGCCCCCATGCTGAAGAGAATTTCACTTTCCTCTTCCTCGAATATACTTTCTGCCGAGATATCGGCATAGGGGAATTTGTTAACGCGCTTATCGATGTCGATTTGAAACAGGACACTCTGCAACTCCTTCCAATGTTGACCGTCTCCTGCATACACTTCGCTGGCTAGCTCCTTCTTTCTTGTTGTGGAGAGGAAACTGCTCACGGAAAAGAAGCCACCGACGTTCGTTCGAATTTTTGTGTCGAAGTCTTCATTGTGCATGAGCTGTCCCCGGTATACCGTTTCAATTTCTGAAGAAGTCTCTCGTTGCGCTGCGTGCAGTTCACTAAGCTGACGGTGAAGATCTTTAATATAGTATCTAATGGAATACAGAACTTCAATGTCCTGCTCTCTCAGCGCTTTGTTGAGAATTCGGTAAAGAAATGAGTCTCGCGTGTACCAAAAGACGGCGTCCTTGGCCTCGTAATAGTCTTGAAATTCCTGAACAAGAGCCAACTGCGTTTCGTCACCGGCACACTTGCCGCGGCAGAATTCTACCATTTCTGCCTCGTCTGACTTAAGTGTGTTCAGAATTTCTCTGATGAAGTATGAATACATAAACTGAGCTTCTTGCCGTTTCGAAGAAGCAGGAAGCGATGTTGTTGTCATACTAACATGAGTAGGAATGGGCGTTGCAGCAGCAACAGAATTTATTGCAAAGTCCCGTGGCGTAGAGCGTCTCTTACTGAAGTACTCTGACGTGGAATCTTTTGCATCCCTGTCAGCCCAGTACATAACGATTGTAAATCCGGGTAAACGTCATACGCTTCTTGACATTGTGATGTGTCATTGCCGCTGACAGGTACGGTCGCAGAGAGAAGATGAACTGAATCGATTTGAGAAAGTTGTACACTGGCTTGCAAGAGTGTTTCCAGAGAGTGAACCGTGCGAGATGAAACGATGAGAACTGCCTTACCATCGGTTTCCTCGAGCCTTGTGATGTAATTTGAACATTCATCCAAGTTTCGAAATCGTTTTAGATAGGGATCAATTTTACACAGAGCAACGTATGTGGAGCGAGAAGCGATGACGTCGCCGGTATGATCAAGCCAGATCGCACTGTAACTTTGTGACATTTTCTAGAAAATATTGGATCGTAAGAAGAATGCAGAAAAAAGATGATGATCGGTCGTTATAAGAAGAAATGTGCTCTATGAAGTGCAATTTCACGATCACTTTCTTGTGCAGAATAACGTGAGTGCAAATGGGGAAGTGTCATCGGAATGAAGAGAAATACAAACAACATCACTCTCTTTTAGAAAAATTCATTTTTCTTCTGTTCCATTTTTTCCAACTTTGTGATACCATGAAATACTTTTATAAGAGAAGTTGAACGAACGGAGGAAAGAGAACGTACGGAGCAGAACAATGCGTCACTTCTGCATTACATAGCTATTTACTCTTGTTGGAGTATACTATTTTATTTTATTCTTTTAGGATTGAAACAAAAAGAAAAAGTTTTGTAAATACACAGCAGTTTTTTCAGTACTATTCAGGTAGGTATATTACGGGCAAGTCAAAAGTGGAATTCCAGTTTTGACCAACATTTCCGTAGTCGAAACTAGAATTCCACTTTTGACCGGACAAAACTGGAATCTTAACAAATCTAAGATATTACAAGAGTTCAGTGCAACTGTTATTTAAAATTGATAAGCATGTATATACGTACATGTTAAAATAATTTGTTTCTTTCTGCTAATGATATTCATTGGATAACATGAAACTAAATAGATGTACATACTAATCGATACTACTCAAAATTTAAGTATTTAACAAGTGTAATTATTGAAAAATTTTTAAAATTAAATAAACTTTACTAATAATAGTTATTTAATAAAAAATTATGGCAGTTATCTGGAGAAAAATACAATCACAAAATCATTCTTTGACTGAGTAAGCGTTATACTTGAAACTTTTAACACTCTTTGACATATCTCTCTAATAGAATATAGAAACTAATATGTCATAGATTTGTCTTACTTGTTCAACTATTTTCGATGATAAGAAACTACGTTTCTACACTCATCATTCAAGGATTTCCCTTTGAAACTGTCGACAGCACTTGAGTATTTTCATTACTCAATGTATTCTTCTGTTTTACATGGTAAATTATCGTTATTCTTTATATGGATCACAACCTATTTTTACATCATATTTAAATATCTTAGTTATTATTATATAGTAAAATAGAATGCCAAAAATATTGTGTAATAAATTTTTTGTACATGAATTAACTGTCAGTTTTAATCGAACTTTTCTTTCTTTTTTAGTTCTCAAGTACGACGTTAGTATGTTTAAATGCTATAAATTATTTTTGAGTCTATGTTATTATTTTCATCTGTTTTAGTCATATCGAAACATTCAAAGAACGTTTGGAACAGGTAATAGAGATAAATTGTTTTAAATCTTCATTTTATTTAACAGTGATGTGCTTGTAGCATTTCTGCGATGAAAAAAGTGTTTACAAACTTAATCAGTAAAGTGTCGCGTTACGTGGACAAGCCGTAGATGAAGTGCTACTTCGAAAAAAAGCAATTTCTCACTTTTGCAACATCTATAGCGCAGAAAGTAAGCATCTTCGAACAACAACGCTGGCAGAGCCCTTTATTTCCTATGAAACAATAATCCGTCAGGATAAGTCGTTCTTTGGAAATGCAGTATTTTATTCGAGTAGAAATATCCGCTCACTCTTTGTTGAGCAGAAACTGTCAGTTATCACCTCATCATAGATGAAAAGTTTAATCTGAATCTAAAGCACAGTATTTTACTCAAACCTATGAACGCATGTCACATTTTATTTAAATCTAAACACCAATTGTTCAAATATAATGTGGCAAAGTATGAAAAGAAAAAAAACAGCTAATTGGAACAAAACGTTCAATTTGGTTCAATTAACGCTAAATCACTTATATTAGCAAAAAGCTGAACTCGACTTTTATTTATTATATTGCCATTAATAAACTTTTCTAATATAAAACTTTTCTTATATGGTTTTTCACCATATAATCCTTCACGATGTTTTTCCAAGTAATCAATTGTTCGAATAATTAATGAATTTAGACCACATAAGAATTTTACATCATTCCAGCGTACCATCACCCCATGAATCTTATTTTCATTTGCACATTGTTTTAATCTTGTAACTGTACTAACTAACAGTGGTTCATTATAACTAGATAAAAAGATAATGCATTTTAACAAACTGACATAATCATCAGATGGATACCCCATTGCATTTCGTTCAGGTTCTGTAGCTAATAGTTGTTTTAATATTGGCAGTGAACATGTTGATAAACTACCATGATATGAAGACATTTTTCCAATTATTGCACAACTTGAGTAATCAATCAACAGCA